ATTTCAGTTTTGACTTTGGTTGTGATGTCCTGGTACGGGACTGAACGGAGATTCGCGGCCATTTCCTTATTGTTCTTGTTGTGTCTCCTAAAAGGATCGTGACTGACTAAAAAACCTTGTAATTTATGTTAAGGTACTACAATAGATTGCGAGATATAAAACGAAAACACCACCACTGCTACCAAGTGATTCAGACATGTTCAGAAAATACTTGTGAGGACAAAAAAATATATAGGGATATAGACCTAGTTCTAACTGTGACTAGGATTTATTACTTTTACTAAAGGCTACGCCATCCACAAAAATGGAAAGATTTTATGACAGCGAATAGCAAGTATAATAAGTAATTGGGAGAAACATACTCATGGCTCAAAAGAGCCTCAGACGGATAAAGGGCGGCTGATTGGTACGACTGTGGTCAGGCGCACTGTTGCAACCAAGAATTACTATTCATTGCAAAACTCTTGAAAATCGCGAAAAACATACAGGATAAAATCCGTCAAAAAGCCAGTCACGCTTATTACAACAATAACTCTTAGGCAATATTAATGATAAAGGTTCAAACCAGGCAGAGTTTCAACTTGGCTGTCGAGCATGAGCCTGGTCCATTGTGGTCGACTACGCCCACAATCGCCTTGTAATTTCTTGGTGCACATGACTGTCTTTCTTAACCATCATCACTTGTCTCCAGAGTGTCGACTTGGGCACTGACTGTCTTTCTATCTGTGCAGTCGTCTCCAAGTGCTGGAACTTGAGCGACTGACGTCTGGTCATCATCAGTCGTCCTCCAAGTTGCTTGAACTTGGGCCACGGACTGTTCTGTCCATCATCAGTCGTCTCCAAGTGCCGAACTTGGGCACTGACTGTCTGTCATCATCAGTCGTCTCCAAGTGCTGAACTTGGGCACTGACTGTCTGTCTACCATCATCACTTGTCTCCAAGTGCTGAACTTGGGCACTGACTGTCTGTCATCATCAGTCGTCTCCAAGTGCTGAACTTGGGCACTGACTGTCTGTCATCATCAGTCGTCTCCAAGTGCTGAACTTGGGCACTGACTGTCTGTCATCATCAGTCGTCTCCAAGTGCTGAACTTGGGCACTGACTGTTTGTCTACCATCATCACTTGTCTCCAAGTGCTGAACTTGGGCACTGACTGTCTGTCATCATCAGTCGTCTCCAAGCTCGCTTACTGCGGGCACTGGACTGTTCTGTCATCATCAGTCGTCTCAAGGCTGCCCGAACTGAGGTAAGTGAATGTCTGTCATCATCAGTCGTCTCCAAGTGCCGAACTTGGGCACTGACTGTCTGTCATCATCAGTCGTCTCCAAGTGCCGAACTTGGGTACTGACTGTCTACCACCCCTTACACTTTTATGAAACCATTATCTTCCTTGTGAAACCATTGTCTTCCCTGTGAAACCATTGTCTGTCTTATGAAACCATTGTCTTCCTTGTGAAACCATCGACTCCAATGTACACCATGGCCTTCTTTGTGAAACCATTGTCTATCTCATGAAACCATTGTCTTCCTTGTAGAACCATCGTCTTCCTTGTGAAACTATTGTCTTCCTTGTGAAACCACTGTCTTCCCTGTGAAAACATTGTCTGTCTTATAAAACTATTGTCTCCCCTGTACACCTTTTGCCCAGCAAGAGTTTCCAAACATTGTCTACTTGTTTGATCTCTCCATAATGGTCTGTTTTTGGGAACGGCCCATGGCTGGATGCTCACTTGCAGATCCAAAGGTTGTGTGTTCGGGTCCTGACAGAGAGGCCTTTTTTTCTTCTCTCCAAAAGCTTATCTTGGCTCCCAGTCGACCCAGGCTTGAGTGGTTACCAGGTATAGTCCTGGGAAGTAAAGGCAGCCAGCATGGTGTTGACAACATCACAAACCAAGTGTCGATTGGTCTATAAAATAGAGGACTAGCCCTATATGCCCAGTATGCCTGAAGGTATGGAAAAAATGGTCCTTAACTTTTTTTTAAAAACTTGTGGTATATTTGTTCAACTTTGATCTTGCTTTATTTTGTCATTACTTGTCTGTCACTTTGTTGTCACAGGCACCCCCTTGTCCTGTAGATCTAAACTGCGAGGGAGGGGGATAGGAGAGAGAAAAGGGGGAGGTGAGAGGGTGGGGGTAAGAGAGAGGAAAGGAGGGGGTAGGTAAGAGGGAGAGAGGGAAGGGGGAGGGGGTAAGAGGGAATGAGGGAAAGAGGAAGGGGTGGTAAGGGTAAGAGGGGCTAAGAAAAAGAGGAGAGGTAGGGAGGGGAAGGGATGGGGGAAAGAGGGGGAGGGAGGATGAAGAAGGGGGGTAGTGTGAGCGGGAGGGAGGGAGAGGGTAAGTGGAAAGGGGGAGGAGGGAGGGAAGGGAGGGATGGGAAAAAAGGGAGGGAATGTGAGCGGGAGGGAGGGGGTAAGGGAAATGAGGAGGGGGTAAGGGAAATGAGGAGGGAGGGGGTTAAGACTTGGCCATGTTTACACCAGACGGCAATACATCATAGGCCGAACGAACGATGAAGCTCAGTCGCAACGGGTCATTCGGGGGGGGGGGGAAGGGAATGGGGGAAAGAAGGAAATGACTTGACCACTTCGCCACTGAAACTCACGGAGAACAATACTTTATACTCTCATCATAAATTGTAAATGCTGGACCGGAAATTACCAATTTAAAAAAAAATGCATTTTAACATAAGGACCGCGGTAAAAAAAAAAAAAGTACATGAACGTCGCAAAAGGAGAGATTGCTTTCAACTGATATGAATTTTCTTATTAATTGATAAAAAGGAACTTAATAAATGTAAAGAAGATATGGTGTGGACCAAAAAATATGGACCACAACCTTAGTGGGTAAGTGTATCAATATAAAAATGTTACATGTCTTCTACTCTTTTCTTTGTTCATTTATCTTTTAGATTTAGATTACCATCAGGTGTTTTACTTGTTGGGTCTAGCAAAGTCTTAGGCTTGTCCTTTATCTCTTCCCCTAAGCCTCATGTAGCTATTGATCCCACACGGGAAAAGAATTCACAACAATGAAGATTCATCTCCTCAGAATTTAGCAATTCTTCTTCTTCTCTTCCACCTTGTACCTCATCGAAGTGTCGGGGGGAGATGTAATATTCGTTGATGAGCTCTGTCAAGAGCACTATTAAGACTGATGTAGAATTTAGCAATGCAGAGCTTAAATTCTATTAGGTAGCTATGGTGCAAAAATCTGCAAACAAAGTTAAAACCGTGTAAATAATAATATTTCTGTAGCAACATACACATGAAACAAGAAAATCGGTGATTTTGAACTTGAATGTTTCGAAACGATTCTTTAGGTATCGTCGACATGTAGGTTTGTTGCGTATCCTTTACAGGACGTTGCAGAACCAACCCCAGCAGCCCTGGGCTGTTGTGTTGTTTCTCTAGGCAAATTTACTTCTAATAGTTTGCCATTGCATCTAGACGGTCGGCACCCTGATGCCACTGTCGAAACCAACGCAAGGCGCATGGCCCGCAGCTGGGATCGAACCCGGTACCCCGGCATTACGAAGCGTTCACATCGACTTAACCACAGAGCCGAGATCATCGACATATAATAGAAAAAAGAGTTACTATTCAGCTTTTTTATCCTATCTGGTCTGGTGCGAGATTTTGAAGGAAGATTTCCCGTGACAGTCCTTCGTTCACCGTGTACACACAATGTGACAACAGGTGTCTTTGCTTCGTTCGGCGGGGTTGACCCAGACAAAAATGCTTAGCTTTCTTTTGTATGATTAAAAAGTGGGCAGATATAAAGTGTGCTATGTGAAAGTAACAAAATGCAGAATTACACAGCCTAGATATATCTTGTAAACAGACACAACGTAAAGCTGTAAAAAAATGAATAAAGTGGTTACAAATCAGAAGTAAGCAGAGTTAAGTCAGAGGAAAGATAAACCAGTTTTGGTTTTAACACAAAATAATGAATGCTGTAGTAAAGAACAGACTTATTTCTGACTTCCAGAGAGAATACCAAACCTGGTAGAGGACAAATGAAAATAAAGCCAAGGCGCGTGTATAACAATATACATTGAGCAACCAGACACGAGATGACGCAGCATTATTACCACGGTAACCTCAAATACCTGTCAATTTCTATTACATTTTAGAGAAAACAAATGAAAATGGATGAGATCAAACGTCATATGCCTGATACTCAACTGGTGTGAAAAGGATCCTTTTACTTCAGAAGATGAGATCAAGGTTGAGCTACAACGAACCTCCCCCTCCCCCCCCCCCCATCTTTTGTCCCCCTAATTCAAACAGACAAGCAAAAAATAAAATTTACAATATGTTCTAAAGACCAATTTAAGGAAGTGGTGTTTATGTGTAATAGCAACAAAGTGAAGTTAGTATCACAGAAGAGTGGTTGAACAGCTCTACCTGATCTATTGCCACAGTCTGGCCAAGCAGGACCGTCGGTAGTACAGGACTAGCTGCTGACGTCATCGGCTTGACGTGACGTCACCACAGGTGTGCCAGGTCCTGTACTACAGAGGGTCCTGGGCAAAGACTGCAGACTGAGAATGTTGGACAAACTTCATGCAAAATGGGAGCTCCATCTAAGAGATACATCTTTACCAAACTGAAAAATTAGTAAAATAAAAATTGACGGTATCGGACAAGATCACTATACAGGAAATAAAAAATTTAAAAAAAAAAAGTCGTAAACCAATGCAGTAACTGTTCTGTTCGATGTGCCTCAACTACTAACCAACCAACTCACCAACCAACCAGACAAGAAACTGACAGACCAGCCAGCTGTCTACCTAACTAGCAAACTAAGTGACCGCCTGACTAAATAATTAACTAACCATCATGTTTAGAATGATTCCGTTGCTAGACCTAACATGTTTTCCGCGTACATAAATGTTATTTAGAAAGGAAAATCACCCTTTTAGAAACAACAATATCGTTTTATTTTAAATGTACTTTTTTTCTTTAAATATTAGATGTTTTCACGGCTTTCTGGAGAATGCAGATTTCAGACATACTCAGTTCCAGAGGCTACTGTTTGGGACCTCGTATCGGGAAGGGAAGCTATGCGAAGGTTAAAATCGCGGAGAGGCTTTCAGACAACAAAATAATGGCTGTCAAGGTTTGGTCGTTGCTGTTTTGTGTTTGTCTTGGTTTGTTTGTTTGTTTGTTTGTTTTAGTATCCAGAAGCCATGAGTTGTTAACACTTAGGCTCGGTATTATGGATATCGCAACCCTTCAGTCTTTATTCCATTGTAAATCTGGGAGGAAATGTGGCTTTCCTGCCTACCCCTGGGATTGAATCCTGACCACAAAGAGTTCGTCACCCGGTCTCCGCGCAATCCGATTTAGACAACTACCCTAGAGAGCCGGACTGGTGTGTTTGTAGGCATTTTAAATTAAAGAATGAGAATAGTTTAAAATTGCATGACATAATATTCTGACGACTGCTAGTTAGTTCCAGACATGGTGAAACTCTGTAATATGTGTGTAACTGCTAAATAACAGTAATGTCCACTTAGGAGAATAGTTGAGAGAAAAGAATTAAGATAGCTGCAGATTCTTCACCGGATTCGAAAAATAACTCAAAACATTTATTGCCTGTTGACGGTTTGATTAAACACTTTTACTTCGAGTAGTTTGTCATTGCTTTCTAAACGGTTACGCACCCAATGTTGCTGAAATCAACACAACTTAGTCTATAAACAGATCATTCACAGGTGAATAGAAACCTGGTTTGCCAGAATTGTTCAAAACAGTTTAGCCACTGTTATAGGAAGGGCAACCATAGTAACACCACTTAGTTTACATATATTAGATACTAACTGGCAGTATTCTTCTTTAGGCCTGTGCCGTGTGGCGTTGAAAGTCATGTCTTTCCACAACCTTCTGTCTCTTGTAATTTCAATCAACTCTGTTATAGACGATCATCTATACCATGATATTAAACTGCTCAGAATCTTTTCTTTCGGTCATCATCCGCCTCTCTTCCCCTCCAACTTTCATACTATCACGATGTTCTCTAATTCTCTCCTTCTCATGACATAGCCAAAGCAGTAGATTGTCTTCTGGGCAATCATTTCTCTTCGTGAGTCAGTTTCTTTAGACATCTTCAATCTTCTTTTTGTCTGTCCAGGATATGATAATCATTTGTTTATAAAACAACATCCAGCGTTTTCACTAACCTACCAACTGTCCATGATTCACTTCCATATATCAGGGTATGATTTATATAAATTGGCAGTAGCAGGAGCTGTGATAACGTGATTATCAGTAAAAGAAGAGAGTTTAAAAAGTAGTATGATGGGCGGGGAGGGGGGGGGGCGGGGCGCACACACATTTGCACTGAATCCACTCCCTTCCTTAACATCAGCTTTAGAGGAACATATTGAAAAACAACAACCCCTTATTTTGAATGGCATCCGCTTTAAGAAGGTTCTTGATAGCTTACTAAGAATATTACTGTTGGAATTTTGGAATGCTATGGTACACCAATGTGGCGTCCTTGCCTTAGGCGTTACTAGTCCGACTCGTTATCCCTACGTACCACGATCGAAACCCACTGCTGGCTGCTTGGATTTTTATCATGGTATAGGGCATCGCAGGTCGACCCAGCCTAAAATGGGTACCAGGATGGCCGTCCTGGGGAAGTAAAGACGACCGGCTTAATGCTGACCACATTACCCACCCAGTGCCGATTGGACTGTACAAATATGGGACGCTCTTCCCATATGCCCGATGCCACTAAGGCGTGAAAAAAGATCTTTACTTTTACTTTTTACTATGGTACACCAAAGAAAAATAAATATTATCAAAGAAATGAATGAAGGCTCAGAGTGTGCAGTGAGAGCGGATGATTATTGAAGTGACTGGACTGCAGTTGAAACTCGGCTGAAACAAGCATGCATTTAATTTCTAATCTTTTTTGGAATAACGACTGACTGGGTAATGAAACAATTTTGCGTTGGAAACGACAGTTGAAAGATGTTGATTTTATTGATGATTTTATTCTGCTAAGTCAAAATAACAATGATAGGTTCAACAGATGACTTCGCAAATATAGTATTGAAGGTTGAACTACAAATAAGTTACAAAAAAGACAAATGTATTGAAGGCACCAATTATAGATGTAACAGTAGAGACAAAAATAATTAAATTAACAGACTAATTTACCTAGTATAAGTGACAGTGTTTATAGTGTCTCAAGCGGTGGTGTCGCGTGTCTAAATTAGTGTAACTCCTAATTATACGTAATTATACAATGTGTGCAAGACACTCTGGAATGGCAAAATGTTGAGATGGCGGCTCGTATTGATCAGGTGGCAAACCCGTAACTGCAACAACCATCCAACAACCCTCCAAGGTAACTCAAGTTATTTTCACCAAAAAATTTCCAGGGCACAATTTAGTGAGACGTCCTCACCACTTACAACGCCCCCAGACTGGATAGTATCATTATCTCAGACTGGATAGTATCATTATCTCAGACTGGATAGTATCATTATCTCAGTCTGGATAGTATCATTATCTCAGACTGGATAGTATCATTATCTCAGTCTGGATAGTATCATTATCTCAGACTGGATAGTATCATTATCTCAGACTGGATAGTATCATTATTTCAGTCAAAACAGGGCATTAAGAAATCCGACTGAATATCAATAATACAAAAATGATCTAATGAAATAAACCTAGAACTACAAGATACCAGCAGAGTCACTTTCGGAATCACAATGCATCATGTAGTCAGATAATAACAATATAAGAACTCTCAAGTTAACTGACAAAGAGAAAAGAACACATGAAAGTAAAAAGACACATATAAAGTCTCTGATAATCAAGACTGGCTGCTGGGCTGCCAAAGGTCGCGAGTCCAACTCATCATGGCAACTGAGTTGTGTGAATGGTAAGGGCAAGCCGTTGGCACACAGTTTCCGGATGACTCTAACCTTAAGTCCAAACGTGTCTACGTATCTGGCAGTTGTAGAGAATACTCGAAAGTCTTCTGCCCACAGTCACATAGTCGAAATTTACAAGAGGTAGCTTCGAAGTCGAATTATGACACTAAGTATACACTTTATAAGCAGAGTGTTCATCAAGTCCACTGGGCAGTGTAACACATAGCTATCTGAATATAGAGTTAGTTTAAGTATTTTAATGTAAGAGTTTATAAACCTTGTTCAGGTGTTGATCACCATGAACTTTTTAAATATAGACAATGTTATAAGGAAAATGTATGTTTTGACTGGATGCGGTTTATAGTGTCTAGACCCTGGTATGAAGCACATGATAATGTTTGCTGAGGATAGCTTGAAATTTTCTTGGGTGACCCATCATGTCACTTCCCAGACGTTGATCACATGAAGTGCACAGTTTACTATGTTATATCTGGATGACATTCTTCAGTCTTCGTGGAACACACGGCTGTCACATGACAGTGTTGACTCATGTCAAAATATGCCTCTCACTGCTGTAAAAGGAGATGAGCTGACTTTGGGGAATAACATTTTATTTTCATGGTGGCTCTTGTTGGTCTAGTGTCAGAGGCAAGTTCGGATATGGGACGAACGGAGGTGATGATAGTGAATCATCACGTATGAACGAGTTGACCTTTAGTAAAACTCAGTATGAGAACGGCCAGCTTGACCACGGAATAAACTGGGTCTAGTGAACGGGCCAAGCCTAATTGACACAGTTGACACGGATTATCGCGTGTCGGGTGGTGAGCGCATGCCCCAACAAAGAGCTCGGAGAGACCGGGCTCAGGACAGTTGGGTAGTGGGACTGGACGAGACAAGACGTAGATCTTCTACTAGGTAAAAAAATACATTAGGTTAGTGACGGTTAGTTAAATTGGATTTTTGTGTAGTATCTTTGTTAGGTTGTGTTTCCATTTAATGTTTCGACTCGATAGTGAAGAGTTAGTGTTCCTTGTAAAGTAGACATTCCATGCAGTATTTGTTTAAGCAGTTAGTAAAGGGGTGACACACATTGTTAATGGCGGTAACACTGCCCAGTCACGCTCAGGCCATTCACCTTACGTGTGCCGCTGAGTCTCATGTGGCAATAGACGGCGGCTTAGTTAGCACTGATAAACTGTTAGTAAGGAGTCGTGTTCTCAGTGATCCATGGAAACGACTTGGATTGACCAGTGAATGTAAAAGCTGTTCAACGCCATCGTTTTGGATGAGAACTGCCTACTTAGTTGAGGTGTCTACAGTCTTTTTGTTCATTGTATATTACAGATTATGTTTGTTCTCAGCCGGCGCGTGTCTTAAGTATGTCCAGGGTAGTGAAGTCTGTTAGCTGGCCTACATAGCGAGCCATATAAAATGGATAGAGTAAATTAGGTCGCTGACATCTAGGCTGGAAACCCACAGCTCCAACAACCATCTAACACCATTCCACGGATGAGGTAACTCAAGCAATGATCTCCAAGGATCCTCCAGTGCACAGCTGGGATAGACACTCTCATCACTTGCAAAACCCCGAGACTGGACAGTTTCACTATCCCAGTCAAAAGACAAATAATTATAACAATTCTGATTGAATACACAAACCACGCAAGAAACTTAATTTTAAAGAACCTCAGAACAAAAGAAACCAACTAAATCTTCTCTTTATATTAACACTGAATCACATAATTATAACACAACATAATGGAACGCCTGTGGCTGAAGAAACAAGAGGAAACACAAACAGTAAGACAAAACAATGTCTCCTGTAGTCAGACTATCCTGCCGAATATTTAGAATCAGGTGTCATAGTCAGTATCACATGCTGGGAATGTGTTTAGAAGGGAAGTAGACATAGAAGTAAAAACTGTATACACGAGGGAGATAAATGGTCGTAGACCACGAGGCAGACCAAGAAGACGATGGAGAGATATTATCCAGGCAGACCTGCAAACACTTGGTGTCACCAACTGGAAAGAGAATTTCAACCAGAGAGATGAGTGGAGGTAGGTGATTTCTGCAGCAGTGAAACTCAAGGGCTCGGAATGCTGAAGAAAAAGAAGAAAAAGAAGAAGTAGTAGTAGAAGAAGGAGAAGAAGAAGTAGTAGTAGTAGAAGAAGAAGAAGAAGAAGAAGAAGAAGAAGAAGAAGAACGCATCTGAGATAAAGCTCTACAGAGATCAAGATCTTATGTTTAATCTTTAGCACCAGCGGCGAAAATGTAAACTTGTTTCATATTGTTACCTATTTGTTGATTAAATATCTTTAAGACCTGGAGATTCTGAGTGTCTTCCTGTGCCACCGGTGTATTCTGTTTAGTATTTCTACAATGAAGGAGCTGTGTATGAACTATCACTTTCAATAAGAGGACTCAAGTCTTCTATAGAACCAGTCATATTGAGGTCACAGCCATCTGGAAACATTTAAACCAAAGCACCTGATGCTTTATTGTTTATAAGCTGTGTTATGACATACAGTACTTCTTCAAAATCAGACTCTTCAATATTTGGTTCACATGGTAATATCTCTTCCAATGGGTAATTTAATAAGGGGAGATTCACAAATTAACAATTCAGCAAAGAATTCCTTCCATCTGATAATGATTTTCTCATTATTATTTATTATATTCCCATTGTGATGTTTTAAACTATAAATGTTTTGTTGATATGCTCGTTTAACAGCCTTGAGTTCTTTAAAAACGTTCTGGATTCATTGTTCTGATGGTTAGCTTCCATATCCATGACAATGTTGTTCATGTATTCTCGCTTTTGATGCCTAAATAGTTTTGTAGATTCTTTGCATTCTGTTCTTTAATTAATTTTCATTTCGTATGTTATAGAATCATTTAGCAAAACCTGTCTTGCTAAATCTCACATACGATACTTAATGAACTATTTGCGTCTGTTTTCTGTTTGTTTTTCTTTTAAGTCAATGCTGGCATGTATGACTTCTTGACAGCTTGGCTTTTTTAACAGAGATATATTCTATTCAGAGCTTTCTGCAAGAACTCACAGTAGTATGAAAAGCAAAAACTGTTCACAATATGCAATATAATTTAACCCAGCTAGTTAACGTTTCCTAAAACAGATTCCTAAAAATTATTGTCAATCTCCCTTGAAGACTGCTGACAGATGCTCAGCGCAGGTAAGAGTTCATCAAAATGCAGAAAAAAAGAGATGATTTCCTCCTACGATGTTCATTTGATCACAATAAAATGCACTGACAGCCATCCAGACAAGTATGGGACAGTTTGGTTGCAGTTGGTGGAATTCCAGTGTTGCTATGGAATATGCGAATCCACTTGATAATGATGATGATTCAGCAAATAAAAATCACAGCCACTAAATGCGACACATGATTTCACCTGTCATTCTGAAAGGAATATTTATTATGTTGATTACCCGGCGAAAAGACGATTGGGGCATGTGAGGTGGTGGCAGGAGCGTGGGGGATTGGGGGGGGGGGGGGGCGAACACTATCAGGTCCCGATTCGAGTGCGATTCCAAAGTAAAAAAGTACTGATCACATCCTAGGGATGAAGAAGGACATTAGGCACCCAGAAAAAGATATACCTTTTCCATGTCCTCCTTCATCTAGTGAGAATGCAGGCACGCCAAAATCCGTAAGGGACTTTTCATAGCAGAACATCTGGAAGAAAGGTGAGAGGAAGACCTAGGGGGGAAAAAAACTGATAAATGGTGTAGCCGAAACCTGCAAAAAGGCGAACAAATCCGTCACCCAAGCCACCCGAAAAGCGCAAGACAAAAACACAAAACCGCGACACTGGGATACAACTTGGTGTCAATGAGATGACAAAACCGCGACACTGGGATATAACCTGGTATCAATGAGACGACAAAACCGCGACACTTGGACACAACCTGGTATCAATGAGACGACAAAACCGCGACACTGGGATACAACCTTGTATCAATGAGACGACAAAAGAAGAAGAAGGAAGGGTCTCCCCGTTAACCAACCTGAAGCACCTGTATCACGCTGAAATAACTCGATTCAGGTGTTTCTGGAGTTGAATTGACACAAGTTTTGCTGACCAGTACATAGATGTATTAAAAATTTACTATTTACGTACCAATATTTGACCTTTTAGGGGTTAAGAAAGGCTTCTCTCCCCCTGGAATCTACTAAATTTATAGTGGGTGATTAGTGTCAATCCAAATCTGGAGGGGTGTTTTGCTAGCCTCACGACAACGGCAATACTAGGAAAAGCGTGTTAAATGTTGGTTATTTAAAAATTAAATTATATATTACATCTGTTGTAATAACTTCGATTTTTTTATACTGTTTAGATTATTAGTCAAGGTCAGATAGCGAAAGAGTTCCTCAAATCATTTCTTCCCAGAGAGCTGTCTGTAATACTGTCCCTGAATCATATTAATATAATACGCGTATATGAGGTAAATATATGTAAATGTATATGTGCGTGTCTATGTCTGTCTGTCTGTGTGTATGTGTGAGTGTGTGTAATGTAACGTAATGTAATGTGGTGTAATGTTATGTTATGTAATGTTATGTATGTATGAAATGTATGTGTATAATGCTATGTATGTATGTAATGTATGTATGTAATGTTATGTATGTATGTAATGCTATGTATTTATGTAATGTTATGTTATGTAATTTATGTAATGTTTTGTAATGTTATGTAATATAATTTTATGTAATGTAATGTTTTGCTATGTTATGTAATGTTATGTTGTGTAATGTAATGTTTTGTTATGTTATGTTATGGTATGTAATGCTATGTAATGGTATGCTATGCAATGGGATGCTACGGAAATAAACCACAACCCTTACTAATTTGACACTCAAAGCAGCACACACGTCAATCTCCCGAGGTGGTTCGAAAAACTATGAACGCTTCTTTACCATAGAACTACCACAGTTGCATGAGGAAAGCACAGAAGCAAGAGTACAAATGGAAAAGGATTCCTCTGACCTCAACGTAACACAAAACAGGAAACATCAGGCTATTTATAGAATTTAAAAAAAAACAACGCACAGGCATCTGTAAAAGATGGCATGAAAAGACTGCAGCTCTCAGTATGGAGAAAGACAGTAAACTATGGCATCTAGTACAGGGTGTAAATGAGGAAAATCATTCCAGCCATGCAAACACTGTCATTGAAGATTGTAGTAAAGCTTTTACCAGTAAAAAAACAACAGCAAATTTGCTGTCTGGCAGTTTTGCAGAGGACAGCAAAGTCGTCATGACTAGAGCGAGAGAAGAAGTGACGAGAGAATTGAGGTCAACCAGTAAAAGCAAGAAAATAACCAAGACATAATGAATGAGCTCTTCAGTCCCCAAGAACTTGAATGCGCATTAAGAAAACTTAAGAAACGAAAGGCACCTGGATTTAATCTAATGACATGATAGTACACCTAGGACCAGCTGGTAGGCAATGAATCTTTGACCTTATCAATCAGTACCGAACGCAGGGACTACTTCCAAAGGAATGGAATGAAGCAGAAATAGTCCCCATAGCCAAGAAAAGAATGCCCAAGGAAAACAAATTCAGTTACCGTCCCATAAGCCCCCTAAACTGCCTTGGACAGACAATGGAAAGATTGCTGAACAACCAGTAATTTCCTGGAAGTTTGGATGACAACCAATCATGCTTCATGAAATACAGAAGCGCTAACGACAAAAACTTGTTACCTCGCACAAGAAATTGCAAATGCTGTGCAGTCGGAGTCTGCCAGTTTAAATCTTCTCAAGCTTGCTTGTTGAGTCTGCCACTGTCAAAGCGTGAGTTGCTGTCTGATCCACCAGCACTACAAGTGCCCATATGACAGCTGCTAACTCCATTCTCATGCTAGAGCTATTTGACTGAGATCTTGGGGTTTTCCCCCTTGTGTATCTCTTTCCATTCACATTTGCTGTGCAAGCACACTCAGACTACACCCCATGAATCAATGGGTCATCTGTACTGACTGAAGTAACCTGATGAAGTTTTTCTCAGAGATTACGGCCCTGATTTCAACGTCATAAGCTGTTTGGTTCCATTCTTTGCAATATCTACCTATAGTTATTGTTAGCTCAGTGTGCTCCAGTAACTGTTCTGAATTGCTCGAGCAAAGAGCTTGACATGTTCCAGTAAACAATTGTGGCCAATGGTGTGCTCTGCTTCTGCCATCCAGGACTGCCCTCTCTGTATGCGCTTACCTCTGTTTACCCGTAGGACGCTGTGCGGAGAGGGGGTGTCTTTCTTTTTCTTCTGCCTTTCTATCCCCCAGTGGAGCATAGTCCCTCAACCACCTCACGCCAAATCGTTCTATTCTTCACCATTACACGAAGCTCTCTCCATGTCGTCTTCATGTTTCTGACATCCTTCTCCAGCTCTCATCTCCATGTGTTTTTTGGCCTCCCTTTATTCCTATGCAAGGGGGGTGTTTTTATTTGATAATAATGAAAACAGCGTACACGATTCTGCATCTAACATGAAGTTCTTTTTTCTTGTTCTTCTTTCTTTTCTTTGCAGATTATGCAGACACAAGAAATTGTTTGTATAATGATGGAGTATGCGAGTCGCGGAGACTTGCTGGATTACATAAAGAGGCACGACATTTTCACTGAAGAGAATGCAAGTGTTTTGTTCACGCAAGTAGGTAGTGACGTTGTTGCGACGTAGAATATGTTAAGGCATAGAATTACTAATTGTATTGTATTTGCACAGTTTGAGTGGTGAATATTTCTCTAGCATTCACCAATGAACACGTATCGTACAGACAAAATCAAAGTAATATTTGCCCATAGTCTAAAAGTATGGTCAGACTACTACATATATCTACTAAAGCGAGGAATGCCGTAAAATGTGGTGCGTAAATTAAGTTTTCTGGACTTAAAAATATGTCCAAAACAATCGGTCAGCTTATATAGTGGGTATTAAATGCATAGGATAACTAACTAGCTTAATTCAGAAAATTAAACTAAAATGAACACACACATACACAGAGAAACAAACAGAATCAATCAATCATTCATGTAACATATTCACAGTGAGGACTAGGTACAGCGGATCTCCAACGCCATGTTTCTATCTTTCTATGCCTTCATCGCATTTCACACGAATGATTTTCTTAAAAGTATTGTAGGTTTACGTGGCTAACTACATATCAGACATTACTTTCACTCAACACAAAAACAAAACATTTAACGTTTAACAATAAGAACATACACAGATATACACAGTAAAGCGTTAACTTTTCAGACAAGCAAAACGACGGTTCTTTTACGATTTGTATGGAGAGAGAGAGAGAGAGCGATGAGAGAAGAGAGAGGGAGAGAGAGAATGAAGTTAACCAGGGCACTTTCTATAACTGCATACTATAGAGAGAGGGTAGATAATAAACGAAGTGAATATGAACAGTTCCTGGGGACCCTATTCAGCCAAGAAAATTGACAGAGATTGTCAAAGAATTGTGAATCTATGATAAACGCTGTCGGGCAACAAAGGAAGCAAGCTGAAATACAGTCAATACCGAGAAATTTCTCTTTTAAGTCCCTTTGGCCAAAGGTAAAATAAACGATGCTGAGACCAGTGAAAGAACAACAGCTGGCAGAAGAATAGATTAGATTAGGGAGAAATAGAAAATATATATATGTAGTCGTCACACTTAGAACAGCTATTCCCATTTTATAAAAGCAAAGTGATGCGTGATCCAATACAAGACATATAGGTGTTTGATAAGGTAAATAAAATACACATTTAAATTAGAATGTTCAGTAGAAAATAATTAAAATAATGTTAAATTATAGTGTATTTAATGCAGTGATTGCAGTTTTAACTGACTAACAAACTTACACATTTGCGGTTGAGTTTTCTTTAATGCCAACCTAGTGTCAGTCTAAAATCAAATCTTTTTCTTGTTTTGGTCTTCAATTAAAGAATCATTTCTTCTCCTTCTTCGCGTTCACCAGCTGCACACTGGCGGAAAGTTCTGGTTGCTCGTCCACTACTGAACTGCAGTCCTGCTCCAGAACCTGAGTGTTGCGTGTGCATCAGTTTTACAGATCTCATTCTCTTGTACACAGACTGTTGGTTCCTTGCCTCTTCGGCAGATGCACTCCGACTTCAAAGGAAGCTCCCCAATTAGTCGACTCTTACGACATGTTTATGGGGAGGCAGTGAGTCTATTCTTGTTTTCCCCACAATGGGACCCCGGAACCCACATGGGGAAAAAATCATTTGAATCCGGAAATAACACGGCGTGCTGGTGGCCAGATGAATGGAAGCGGGATTATTCGATTCGTGTCGACATATAATTTATTATATTTATCTGGTATCGAAAAAAAAAAAAAAAAACATTGTTGTCCACTAAAACTAAGGCTGGGCATTCAGTCTGGATGAATCACTATGAATAGACAAATTAGAAGCTGAACTGCAGCAACATTCTACAAACAATTATCTGTTCAGAATTCAATGACGCGATTTTTTTTTTCCCGTCTAAAATTGCCATAGCTCATCGGTGTAAGGCGATCTGGTAAAAAAAAAAAAAAGAAACCTTCGTGACACTTTTCAGTGATTTAGAGGATTACAATCATTCTAGCTCGTCACAAAGACTTTATGACAGGTTAACCGCTCATACCATCGACTCACAAACCCATGCAGAGTTTAAAAAAATACTCCATACACTGATACAGCATGACTCAGAGAGGTCACTCTCATCACCCTAGCTAAAGAGGTGCAATGATCCTTTATACCCGCGATTCTATGTCCTGGGATCTGCCGTTCTGTCCAGCCTTCTGGGCTTGGGTGACCCTTATCACAGCTGCGGCGTCGGCCACTGAAACAGGCCTACTAATGCTGGGTTTTTCCCCCCAGATCTGGTATTTTATTTGACGCCTGGGGGAAATCGTTTTCTTTTTTTTTAAATATAACCTTAAATAAAAATTGGTAAATGTTTCGTTTCGTAAATTTCAATTTTGTACATTTTAACAATCTGGATTTTTTATTTTGTGTGTGTGGTTTTTTTTTTCTTTTTTCTATGTATTGCTTGGGTTTTTGTTCAGCTAAGGTGGGTTTAAAAAAAAAAAAAATCCTACTGGCAGCCCTGTACTGAAAGCCATTACTAGAAAATACTACCAGTATGAGAACGTGTGATTCAAATAATACTGTACGAAGGCTAGCCACTTGTAAAAGTCAACACTGATTCAAATAATACTGCACGAAGGCTAGTCACTTGCAAAAGTTAACACTGATTCAAATAATACTGCACGAAGGCTAGTCACTTGCAAAAGTCAACACTGATTCAAATAATACTGCACGAAGGCTAGTCACTTGCAAAAGTTAACACTGATTCACATAATACTGCACGAAGGCTAGTCACTTGCAAAAGTTAACACTGCAAAAATACACCAGCAAATGTAACAACGTAACTACACATTAAAAAAAAGTCGAAACAATGCTTCACCACAAGAACACTGTATCACCCTTCTATAAAATCACTATCAATCAATCCATGTCCTGTTGTGCCGTTATGTCGCATAGATTTCGCAGTCTATTTATCCATTCGGTTTTATCCTGTGTAATGAATTCAATTTATGGATGGAATTTAGTCCAGTATCTTTGGGTGTGGTGCGTGTATGTGAGAATTGTGTCTGTGTGCTGGTGTATGTGTACATCACAGCACTCGGGGCATTTTCATGCATGCTCAGTTCTCATCTTTAGCAGCCAGCGCGGAGCTCGAAGCACCCCTCTCTTTAACTTTCTCAGCCTGCTTTCAGAGTCTGTTGCATTTACGACGTGTGTATGCATCTAGTTCTCTAGCCATCGGAGAACTGCAGTTACCGCTTCACCTCCAAACTCATGCTAGATGATGTGGTATCGTAGCCATACTGTCCTGAACTAAAGATTTCCCATTGGCTTTCTCTATGAACCCCCAGGCACTTCGCTTTTCTCTCAACACCGAACCATCTGTATAGATAATCGGATCACCTGGGCGTGAATTGTCGTGAATCAACTGTTGGACTTCCACCTCCGTAACACCCTCTAGCCACTTTCTGCACATCCGGCTCAATGTGATCATAACCCTAAACAGGCTAGATTTTTCCGCTGGTACTCTGACCCACCCCTCTCCTCGCCCAATGTTGTCCAGCATGCATGCTTATCGCATTGTGTCTTCTGCTTGAGCCATCCACGATTTCCCCCTTTCAGCCTCGGACCCTTACCTGCAACCAAAGCTTCATACAGAGGGTGTTTCCTTCTGCTGCTACTCTTGAGGTATGACTTAGCCTGCATCACCCCTAGCCTATCTGCAATAGTCGGCAATGCATGGATGTATCGCATGCACACAATCAGGGTGTCTTGTACCTCCCAGAATCAGCTGCAAAGCTTCATTCTGTGTGCGCTCCAGTTTCTCTTGCTGAATATTCGTGACAGTAAGTAACCCCAATCCATTATAACTTGGTGCATCGCTTAGTGGAATACGGATGCTTGATAAGGCAGACGTGGTTAGTGCCTTGTGAGAGAGCGTGTACAGTTCGGAGGAGCAGACGGAGCACCACAGTCTGGTGGGATTGATGCAGTGGAGAGTGACGAGAGTGCTCGAAGCTCAGAGGAAAGACAAGGCGGACGTTAAATCAAAATGCTACTGGCACCATTAGTATCGGAACTCGTTGCTGACTGCTGAAGAAAGGGACGTAGTGCTTATGGGAATGCCCTGAGTGCTGTGATGTCAGTTCTTGAATCAGCTCAACTCAACTCTGTTTCAAAAATTCTTGTAGTCTACTCACCACGATCTATTCCAACGCTAGCGGTCTTGTTTGTTGTCGTTATTTACGTCTAGTGAGTTTATTTGTCGTGATATTTACATGTATTTAAATCAAGCATTTAAATGTGTGCATATTCTTGAATCATTTTAATTTGTAAGAGCTTATGTTGTGGGGATGATTTAATTAAAACTAAGGTATCTGATAATATTAAAGTAATCAGGGTAATTGGGCAAATCTGGGGACTGTAAAGAATATAGGAAATGTCATAGTCTAGAATAGTAAATAACTATCCTACATCACATGATTGGAGGTCGTCGTGTGGCGGAGCGGCTAGACGCTCGCCGCGAATCGGAAGGTCATGGGTTCGCTCCCTGGCCGAGCCGAATTTTTTCAGAAATGACCTTGGCTCCCACGTCGACCCAGACGTGAGTGGGTGCCGGGTGCACTCCCGGGAAGTAAAGGTAGGTGGCTGGCGTGATGCTGACCACGTCACCCATTTTGTGCCGATTGGTCTATAAAAATATAGGTGCAGCCCTATACGCCTAAAGGCGTGGAAAAGGGTCCTTTACTTACTTATAATGAAAATAGAGCAAAATAAAAATGAGATGTTTGTTTACCTCACAATTAGTATTCTCACAAGGACTGGATTATTAACTGACTGCATGGCACATTGCAATATTTACACGGAAAGGTTACCGAGTTAAAGGTTCGGCATGACTTTTGGAATGCACTATAGACATGTGTCTAGGATTGATAAAATTTTGCGATAAGAACAGTGGGTCAGAATGTCCCAGCAAAAGTCAAACTTGTATAGGATTGTGGTCACATTGAGCTGTGAGTGCATGGGCTGGCCAGCGGGCGCTGCAGAATCAGAATTTCAACAAACAATTTGTAACAATTCCCGCCTAGGCGATTTGATTATCTATACAGATGGCAGCAAGGAGATAAAAATTAGAATTTTGGAAGCATGCATCTTTCCTGTGGCTACATACGGATGTGAGTCGTGGACAAAGAAGAGGAGAAATATTGACATCTTAAAAGATCTAAACATCAAGGAAGATTGGCTAATAAACAGCATCCTTTCTCGGAAGCTGAAATATTTTGGTCATATCAAGCGCCACAACGGGTTGGAAAAAATTATAGCAGAAGGCATGGTACCAAGAAGGAGGGGCAGGGGCCGACCAACACGAAGATGAGCACAGGATATAAGTGACTCCATGAGTAGGAGAGGCGAGAGGGCTGGCAAGAGACAGTGTTTCTTTCAGACAGATTGTGATGAGAGCGACGTTCTGCAAAGGACCTGCTACATGATGATGATTTTACAGATAGCTCCGTTTCGAGAGGCAGACGAAAAACATGAGGGTTCTCAGCAACGTCGCCTAATGAAACAAGGCCTGGTTTATGACAGCATAACATCTAGTTTGGAAATGGTGGTGGAGGTAATCACTGCAGCCTACTGCAAAGAAAACATTTTAAACCCGTCATTTACAGATTTATAAACTCAGATTTGTATAGAGCTAATGGGAGCTGAGCAAGAAGGACACATATGCTTTGGGATTATTAGGATGCTTCATGGACAGCCCGAGGTATGAAATATTTAAGATTATACTTGATGTGGATTTGATTATTATGCCTTATTCACAATCATCAGTGCAGTTAGTCTTTTCATAACCGAACTTCACCAAAATATTGTTTGCTGACAGGTATGCGAAGGTGTGAACTACCTCCATGACCGTTATGTTTGTCACCGTGATTTGAAATGTGAAAATATTTTACTGAGGCGAAACATGACCGTCGCTTTGTCAGATTTCGGTTTTTCAAGAACACTTCCAACAAAGGAAACACTTAGTAGGTGAGTTAACAAAACAAAACTAATGTTTTTTTCCGGTACATATATGAATGTATGTATGTATGCAATGGGTCGTTTTGTCTAGCTTAAGTGCCGTAGACTGCAAATGTTGGAAGCAACGACACTTCACGTCGACTGTGTGAATTTACACACAGATTGTTGATTGTTGATGCCTTAATCTTGTCGGCAGGATCATGTTCGTCGACTGTCCTAACAGTCAGTCTTGTTATACATGGCCACTCAGCACTAAGAATTTTATATAATTTGTTTCAGACTGGATTCAAATTTCCGCAGCTGTCAGTCGTTCTTCGTATCTTTACACGAACGATTCATTTTATTTTATTATTCCTGACTGCTGCCATATTTCTGGTCTGCTCAACATTCGTCGCCGCTTTCCGCTCGTCAATGTCGCACAAAACAATCACGCGACTCATACGTCCGCTCAGAATCGCAGTCCCACACAGAATGAATCCTTCTCCTATGTGATACTTACTCATTTTCTGTTTCTCCACCAAATTGTCAACAAACATACTTTTCTCGCCTAGCTCGCAAACCTCATCTTCGCACGGTTTATCCCTGATTATCTTTTAACCGGCATTGGGTTTCCCAAATTATTGCAATTTCCTCCACCAATATTTTTTTTAGAGGTTACTTGTTTCTATAAAGTTATCCCTTTAAGGTTAAACATCGCTGTGATGTAATGATTTGGATTTCTTTCCCTATTTAATTTTAATTACCCCTGTAAAGGTTGAAAATGGCTTTCACTTGTAACATAGTTGTACCCAGTGAGCAGTATATAGCCTAATTGGATCGACACCCCAGGAAACTCCTATTTAGTGCAGAAGACCGTATAGGCTCTGCACACTTTCCATCCTATTCCACAGTCTGCCTTTAGGCAGAACAACACACCAACACACCCCTAATTTTGTGCGTTTGAAGTATTTAAAAAAAAAAAAAAAAAGTAGATTAGTATATGTATTTGTAGCAATCTCCTTTTTTGTCATTCCACTGAGTTCATCCAAAAGGGCACAGACCCAAAAACCTCATGTTTTACCATGAAATCCATCAGTAATATCAGCTTCTGTCTGAAAACACGTGCAGTGATGGCATGCCTATTGACCGGCGATTGTCCAGGAAGTAAGCGCTGTTGTATACTGTCCTAAGCTAGTTTGCAAGTTCATAATGAATAGCTGTGGACTTCTGTCGTGATTAACACTGTATCTTGAGCGTTCTCATATTTTCTCATATTACTATATTACTCGTATTCTTCACAGCAAAGCTAGGTCTGATTCAAACGGATGAATATCAAACGTTTTGTTTCTATTTTTGCATACATATCTACTATGTATTGGTGAAATAACTGACGTCATTTCGAAATGTGATTGTCCTCATTCTCTCTAATCATTAGTAGTCATGAATAATAGTTCATAGCACTGCATTTCCTATTTTTTTTTTTTTTTTTCCAGACTGGATTTATCATCTTAGCGTTCACGTGATATCCATCGGAACCATCTCCAAAAATGATTGGGTATTGCAGGGCATCGTAGCATTGATGAGTTTCTGCAACTTTTGCAAACTGGTTGTTTCTCCGATGAACAATATTTCTAGATTAGAACTGATCTCCGACTAAAACCTATAACAATTGCCACTTCGAATATATTAAGAGCGTCGAATCTTCAAACATGTTCTCCGGCAGGAGTTTTCTCAGCATGATAACAAACTTGCGGGTATCACATGACATCATGTCAAGGGCTCTTTTCAACAAATGCAGTAATTGTTTTGTTTTGTGGAGAAGTTCTTGCAGTTGGGAAACGATGGCAATTTTCATGCGTTTAGAAATTCCGCAGCGTGCATTCAGTTCCTCACTGCCATCAGCGATGAAATGTGTTGGTAGGAATTTATTTTGACCATTGGCAACGGAAGCAGGGAGTCGGCTGTATGATGAATTTGTCTTCTAACTTCGAAAGATGAGATAAATTGAGCTGTTACGATTTCTGCGCCAAACTACCTCTGGAAGCATGAGTTGCATTTTCTGGTGTCAGATAGGAAATGTCTGAATTCGGCGGTATATCCGGCAAGCAAAGTTTTTAATGGCTCTGGCGGGTCTCCAAGTTGAGGTAGTTTAATTTTTCTTGCAGCGCAATACATTCCTTTAGTTTCTCCCAGAAATTTCAGAGCCTTGCAATAAGGATATACCTCAGTCATAATGATGATGAGAGCATGTCGGCGCAAACTATAATTATCAGTTGGGTTGTATCGGAATGCAAGGCGATTGCAGTCATGTGATTTCTGAGCATGGAGTCGTGTTTGACGCTGATCTGCTGTTTCTCGTTGACGTCTGTCAGCTATTCTCAGCCCGTGGGATTCATTCTGTTGAGAACGAAGCAGATATGAAGCTGCAGCACGCGACTGCCGTGCTCGCTACCGTGCATCCTCAAGTCTGGCTGCACGTCGCTCTGCTGCTTCCTCGGCACGTATCTGAGGTATTCTGTGTCACTGCAGCACGCGACTGCCGTGCTTGCTACCGTGCATCCTCAAGTCTGGCTGCACGTCGTTCTGCTGCTTCCTCGGCACGTATCTGAGGTATTCTGTGTCACTGCGGCATGTTCTTCCTCCGTTTGATTTGCGATTACTTGTCAACGTGCTTTCGCTCTGTGAGTTAGACGGCCGAAGTTAGATTTTCTGAAGGTATTTTTTGGACGAACTAGAGCAGATCGATTGCACTGAAAGAGAAGAAATATAGTAAAATCAAAAACATAGAAAACTGCGAAATATTAAAATAAAAGGGAAAAAACATGACCTTAAAAATTAATAATAATAAATACAAAATAGGAAATATTTCCATTAAAAAAGAATGAAGATATTTACATAAAAATGTAACATTGCAAAACATTTGAAAAGAAGGAAAATAACCTGAGAAGATAATTATTAAATTAAAAATCGAGCATTGCCGTCAAAAGAAACTTGTAATTCAAACATGTTTTCCCCCACGCTTTAACATTTCAATAATATTTTTCAACAATGTTTCCTCAGTTTATTATATCAGACAGCTTTATGCATATTTCTGAGGTCAATAGTTTGCGGAAATAAAAAGCCGCTCTGGGAATAAAGCTAACAAAGAAATCTAAAATACCGTGCTCGTCGCTGGATCTATGTTGTACGTGCTTTGTGTCAAAATCATATAAAAAACTTCGCCTATTCGAATGCAACGTTGTGTCAAAATTTGAGAGCAATCATTGAAGAACTTTTGGAGATTAGCTATTATGCACAAACGGACACGTTACATTTTAATTTATATACAGTTCATTTTATCTCTTCAATATTTTCTCAGTCTTATCCCTTAAGTCCATCATGTCCGAATTGTCTGCCAGTGTCCCTTCGCCAATAGCCAACAAAGTCCAACATGTGTCCGATAAACCAACCGTAAGCTTGCCACTTGGTCGTCCAGGTACGCCGACTGCTCTAATAGGCTACAGCAGCCACTAGAAATAAACTTCGAATCTCACAGTTCCTGTTATATAGTCACCATTTTCGTCTTGTCCCTGTCCGAGAACATCCGGTAATACGTGCAGCAGGAGCAGATCAAGCCTGAGCATCATGAACTCAGGTGGGCCCACCCTCTGAGATTGTCTAGGAGCTCGTGGGCTGAAACATTTGTGGACGAGCGATAATTTCTACTGATGATTGGTAGACTCCTGCTGTACCTGTTTCCCTGTGGAGTTTCTTCTTACTATATAAACATACCATATGTCTGAAACCATATTATATTTTTATTTTGGGGGTGGGGGTGTAATTCGGAACACGCACGCACGCACGCACACACACACACACACACACACACACACACACACACACACACACACAAGCTGCTATTGTACTAATTGTTTTCGGAATAAATATGCGCTACACTGCATTGTCGTCTACAAAGCGTGTGTAAGCAAAAGGTGAGTTAGATAGCTTATAAGGAAACTGTGTAGTATGGCAAGCAATGTCTGTTTACGAATGCATTTAACTTCGTTCCATCTGTTAAGTAGTTTTCCAGCTGTCATTGGCGTATGTTAAAAGGGGGAAAAAAACTGTAGAATTGAAAGTTATGTTTTAAAACTACAATTCAAAGAGTTCTATATTTTTTCAAGCTACTGAAATCTGTTGATGTCTTGCCATAATTTCTTCCTTTGTATTTCCTTCACAATCAAAATTACTAGCTTGATAAGAAAATTGATGTGTTACTTAAATTTCTTTTGTCCTTAGTTTTACATCTGCTTGATCTGTTGTTAGTGTCTTCAACATATTTACGAGTAATACGGGTATTCCTACGGTAACAGCTGTCCAGCCCGCTCCAAAGACAGATAAGAAATGAAAGGTCCTAGATGCGATTGAATCTGCCCACGATGCACTGAAATTAAAGGAAGTTATGGGTTAGGCACAAACCGACCGTCGAGGCCTAGGGCACGGGAAAGTCAGTTGGTGGTCCAAAGCCACAGCCAAAGAGCGCCGTGACATGGTGATAAAGCAGATAAGAAACGCCGAGAATGAGACTCGGGTTCAAAAAGCCGCACAGCATTCGAGAGCGCCTTGCCACGAATACTCACATGGGGTGAGATCTGGCGAATGGCCCCGCTGCGGCTGAGCTTTATCGTACGATCTGCATACGATGTGTTACAGTCCGGTGTCAACATGGTCAAGTGGCATGCGACTACCGACCCGATATGCATGCGAGGAAACGAGCGCAAACGATCACTAAAATAATTGGGTGAAGCTGCTGACAGTGCTTCAAACTGGCTCTGGACACAAAGGAATGTCGTGGGGAACTGGCCTCGGTTGGCTGGTTCGGGTGTCTAGTCGAAAAAAAAGTCTTATCCCTTAAGTCCATCACGTCCGAATTGTCGGCCAGTGTCCCTGTGCCAATTGCCAACAAAGTACAACATGTTTCCGATATACCAACCGTAAGCTTGCCACTTGGTCGTTAAGGTATGCCGGCTGAACTAATAGGCTACCGCCGTGACTATATATATATCTAACTTCGAATCTCACAGTACCTGTTGCATAGTCACCATTTTTGTCTTGTCCCTTAATAAGTGCAGCAGGAGCAGATCAAAGCCTGAGAGTCATGACTCAGGTGGGCCCACCCTCTGAAACTGTTTAGGAGTTCGTGGACCGAAACAAATGTGGACGAAGGATCACTTCTACTGATGATTGGTAGACTCCTGCTGTACCTGCTCCCCTGTGGAGTTTCTTCTTGCTATATAAACATACCATATGTCTGAAACCATATTATATTTTCTTTTTAGGGGTGGGGGTGTAATTCGGAACACGCACACACACACCCACCCACACACACACACACACGCACGCATGCACACACACGCACACAAAGACACACAGAGACACACACACAGAGACACACACACAGAGACACACAGACACACACACAAACGCAGACACACACAGACACACACACAGACACGCACACAGATACACACAAACACATACAGACACACACGCACACAAAGACACACACAGAGACACACACAGACACAGACACACGCACACACACAGACGCACACACACATACACACACAGACGCACACACATACACACACACACAGACGCACACACACACACACAGTGCGAAAAATTGACATTATCTGAAGCCCATAAACGTAAAATCACAGTCTGCGAGATGAGATGAGACGAGATGAGATGCCTGAGAAAAGCCGCCAACGTAAATATGAGACATCAAGCGAATTATCATACCATCTGACTAGATTCATCCAGAAACAACAGATCACGTGGTTTGGCTACCTCTTTAGAATGCAGCAGCATCAGGTACCACACCAGGCACCACATCTCGGAGATCAGCCCCAAGATCAAGAGGACGGCCACAAAAATAAGTACCGACAATATTAAAAACATTTTCACCTTTAAGACCTGACAAAAGCCAATGCCAGCCAACGTGCACTGAATCACAAACTATTTCTTCCCACAGCGCGTATGATCATGACATTACAATTCACTTCATGCGCTCGCGCACGCGCACACACACACAGACATTCAAACACATGCACACAAGATTTATTTACAAGTATGCCTTATGTCTTAGCACTTACTGCGGAAGTATTGCGTATGCGTCACCTGAGTTGCTTAGAGGAACGCCATACTGGCCATTGCAGAATGACATATGGAGTCTTGGGTGCATACTTTTTATTATGGTCGTTGGTCAAATGCCGTTCCTTGACAAAAGTACCAAGAAGGTAAGCATTCCTAGACAAAAGTACCAAGAAGGTAAGCATTCCTAGACAAAAGTACCAAGAAGGTAAGCATTCCTAGACAAAAGTATCAAGAAGGTAAGCAATAACGATAAAAAAATAAAAAAGTCAAATTCCTTGTCTATTACCTTTTAAATTTCTCTCTCTCTATTTCTCTCTCTTCTCTCTCTCTCTCTCTCTCTCTCTCTCTCTCTCTCTCTCTCTCTCTCTCTCTCTCTCTGTCTCACACACAAACAAACACACACACACACACAAACCATAACCATTTAAAGGAACACAATTACATTTTACATTCAAAAACTTTTGTAGTTTAATAGGTGAAATTGTTCATATTGCACAAAAGAATACCCTACAGTTCAACCTGTCAAATGACAATTCTTTTCTATTTGGGTCATCCACTGTTTTTATGTGCACGTGTTTTCCTGTCGAATAATAAAAACGCGAAATCAAATAACTTTAAAAAAAAAACTATTGCTTTTTTTAAAAACTGGATGTGGTGCTAGGCACCTATTTTTATTGGCCGAACGGCACTCTTTAAGTGATATGTCCAATGTAGTGCTGACTAAGTTTATATATTTTTTGTATCTTTTTTTTTGGGGGGTTGCTTTTATAGGGAAGAAGGCAGTTGTTTTTTTTTTTTCTCAATGTTAATTTCTAAACACTCACATTTTGTTCAAATTTACTTATCTGGATTTTCACGCAGATATTGTTCAATTGTTTTATTTGCTGGGAAATTGTGTAGTATTTAATTCAAGGTATTGTACTTATGTATCTCTCTCTCTCTCTCTCTATATATATATATATATATATATATATATATATATATATATATATATATATATGTATATATATATGTATATTATATATATATATATATATATATATATATATAGTATATATATATATATATATATATATATGTATATATATATGTTATATATATATATATATATATATATATATAATATATATATTATATACATACACACACACATACATATATATATTTAAAGTATATTATGTATATTTGGATCCATCAATGTACTCCCCGGCACAACCTTTGTACTCCCCGGCACAACCTATCCTCGGTTTTCTGACACACGTATTTTCTCTTTATACATCTATCCCTCACAACGACAGTTTGAAGGCAAGTCACATTTTGTAATCAAGAAAGCTAATACTATGGTTGCAACTACTTTTCTTCAACGCCTGACGGATCACATACTTTCCCATATTTCAGCAACTTGAGTGGTCTCGCGATGGTCACTCGATGGTCTCGTGATGGTCACCAACATGAGTCCTAGTTACGCAAGCCTTTTCATGAGTCTGGTTAAAATAGGCAGTAGTTTGCAGAAATTCATAATAGTATTGGCATACTCAAAAGTTCCAAATACCGACAAGCCGCACGCACGCGCGCACACGCATGCACACACACGCACGGCCGCACGCACACACACGCACGGTCGCACGCGCGCGCTTGTAGCTTCTGTGCTGTTTGTTCCCTCTTTCCCCCTACCTTATTTCAAGAATGTCATCCGCAAAAGTCAGTATCCTTCCAACTCCTGGTGCTTCTAGGCTTGCAATTTTACTCGTATACACGCTAGAGAGCACAGGCGAGATTTCGGATCCTTGTGGCAGTCATGGGGCCAAACTGCATGGTTCTGATGGTTCTGAGGTCCGTGAACCCAGTCGGAGAGCAACCCGACGTGAATACAGGACAAACCTACATACATATAATTAACAAACAGATTATGTACCAAACGGCATTCATAGAAAGAGAGATACGAAATTATTAAAAATATTAAAAGAGAAATGAGAACTTTAAAATAATATTTTAAGCTCTCCCATATAACAGCTCTCAGGCAACCCCCCCCCCCCCCCCCACCCCTCTCCATCATATATCCCTCTCCGAAGGATTCAAATTATTAAAAAAGAAAAAGTTAAGAAATGAGAACTTTAAAATAACATTTTCTAGCTCTCTCAGCTAACTGCGTCTGGTATAAACCCCCCCCCCCCCCCCCCCCCCCTGGCCCAGTCATATCATCTTCTCCGAGGGTTGGGAAAGTCACCGTGTACCGAAATATTGTAACTAAATTGAGCTTTGCATCCGTGTCCACCCAGACTTAAATAGGTAGCATTAGCTTGTACAGAGAAGTAAATGTAGCCAGTGTAACAGCTACCACATCACCCATCCAGTACCAGTACTACTGCAACCACCACCACCATCACAACAAAAACTGTCACTACAGTCTGTGTAGGTCGGTGTATGTATGTATGTATATATATATATATATATATATATATCGTGAAAAAGCGTTTACTTTTTTAAATCGGAAGTTATGCTGGGTGTGAGTAACTTTTCATTTTCGTTTAAAGTCACTTTAGTCACTTTTACTGTAATATAAACCTGATGAGATACTCCAAAATATGCACTGCAACAGATTGTGTAATCTAATGTTTGTGTCGTCTTCAAAGCAAAATTAAAGCATTGTGTCTGCAAAATTAAAGTGATATTAACTTTTTTATTACTCAGTCGATCTTTCTCTATCCTGGGTTGTAGAGGTGTATCGTGTTCCAAAAGACAAGTTTGTTGTCACCGTTAAGATCTGTCCGGTTTACTCTCTATGGTAACTTGTATTTATAGTTTTAGGCAAACGTAACTTGTTATCATAGTTCTAGGGCCCGCCTCTCTAGCGTAGTTGGCTAAACCGAATTGCTCGGTGACCGGGTGACGAACTCCTTGTGGTCCGGGTTCACTCGCGGGGATGGGCAGAAAAGCAACTTTTCTCGCAGATTTACGGTATTTACAATAGAATCAAGACCGAAAGGTTGCGATATCCATAATAACGGACCTAAGGGTTAACAACTCATGGCTTCTGAATACTAAAATAAACAAACAAACATCATAGGTCTAGGCAAACAAATGATTGGCCTTTTGTGCCTTTTCACGGTGAAGAGGCTGCCTCGTTGCGACTTCCATGTTTACATTATCCATGTCAGTATTATGGAAGAAAAATGTCTTTGTGACTATATTCTGGTAGCAAGGAAGGTGGTTATCATTATAAATTTGAGGAAGTAAATCAAAATATAACCGAAGAAGCCCGTTGAGTGTAAACTTCATCCTTGTTTTTATAATTTTTTGTCGAAAATGTTTAAAAAACTTACAACATGTATGTCTTTGAGATGTGTATTTCGAACGAACGAACGAACTTTATTTTCAAAGGGGTCACAAATTGGGCACGCAGGCCAGTCTTACATTCGGCCCTTCCAAACACCCGTTTTTCACACTGCAGCTGTATTTTACCAATAAGCATGTTATATTCATATGATGATATGCATATTAAGAATATAAAAAAAGAGAAAGAAAAGAAAAAGCACAAAAGCATGGGTCGTAAAATGCATGCCACACACCCACCCACCCACTCACCCGCATACCTTCACACACACATTAACACACCCCATTTACAAACATACATACCTACATACCCACACAGACACGCACATTCCACACACAAACAAACATACAGATATACACACAGACACACCCATAGAAACAAATGCAGACACACACACAAACAGACATACGCGCACATACCCAATCACACACGCAGATACACAGACACAGACACCAAGCTGAAGCATTACCATAGTCTTAGTTTATTCATGCATTCTTCGATTCTCATAACTAACGTTGGTGAATATAATTTTCTCTATTTTAGATGATGTATCGACAGCTTAAAGGTAAAGTTAACTTTCCAGAACATCGATATGTTTCCACGTCTTGCAGAAACCTGATTGCAAATATGCTGCAACCAAATGCCGATCTTAGATACAACATCAAGGCTATTTTAGCACACCCATGGCTACAGCATTTCGCAAACACTGTCAATGAATCTCTGAAATGTCAACCATGTCGAACCAGTAGCAGGAGTACAAATAATTACAGGAAACCCAAACAACCGGCTTGTGCCACCATAGTCGAAACAACTCAAAAAAATATTGATAAAGGAAATAAAAGCATTGAAAATAAGATACCAGGTAGAACTGAATCAGATTCGTCAAATGATTCTTCCAACGAAAATTTCTTTGCATCAGCTGCTATTAAAACATCTTTGTGTCGTACGCCGGGAGAAGCATGCCTCCTTCGAGGCCTAAAGAGACGAAACCGGCCTTTTCAGAACAATAATAGTGATTCGGCGGGATGTAGACGTCAGTTTGCAATGTTCCCAAATTCAAGCAACCATCAAGGCCACGCTAGTGACTCACTATCAGAGGATGTTAATCCCAGCAGCAACCTCGCGCTTTCATTGAGAGTTCAAGAGCGCGACATTTTATCCAACACAGGCTGGGAATTTCATAGAACCTCGCATCTGGACAAAAACAGCATGCACAAAAGAGCGATGGTGGCAAACAAAACAGTTGTTGCAGAAGGAAGTAGAGAGGTGAAGATTCAACAGATTTTATTGAAACAATCTAACGAATCATTGACACCTATAGAACAAAGGGGCACACCATCCAGTAGTGGTGTTTCGTACATGTCATGCAACCAACTTTCAGAAGCAGATTCCACCTCATTTGGATGTAAGCGTGAGATGAGGGGATTTATACAAACATGCAGATCGAACAGGATAGACATAAATGCTAGTGAAAAGCAGTTCAAACGTGACATTATTGCTGAACAGGCGTGCATTCACCAAGCAGGCTTAGTCACCAAGATGCGAAATATTTTTGAATCAAATGTTACAGATACCCCTACTAATGATTAATCATGAAATAATTAGCAAACTGGTCACACGAAAATACGCCTTCAAAGAATTGCGTACGATAACAGCATAGTACCAAAATTGTTCCTAATTCGTCAAGCGAGAAACGTCCACTTCAGTCGAAATTATCCTCACCTAATTCTGGACAATTTAAAATATGCAGTGATCTCTCCGCATTAAATTTAATCATTGTAGCAACTAACTATGTCTTCTATTGTTAATTAACAAGTCTACTCGCTCATTTAGTTATTTCCTCTTCACAGCTTTTATCACAACAGGATCAAATAGAAGGAAGAAACTGATGCATACTTGGATAAGCTAATTGCATGTGTGTTGTTTAAACCCACCAGGATCGTACACTTAGCGACCAACATCCGGCGACACAAAATGAGGATCACCCGGGCACAAGTCAAAAAACCTTTCCTTGTTTAACAGTTAGGTTACATTAGGGCCCCAAACAACATTTGAATTGGAGCTTTGAAATAACGAAAAATTGCGCCCCATTCTGGAACAATGTTTACAAGTATTTAATCTAATTATTTAATCAGTGACAGTGGCAACAAGATTTATATGTATTTATACGTAAACTTTCGCTTAGCCTATATACCTTTGTATATGTCTTTATTTTACGTTGCTTGAGAAATTCATTAATATTAAATTTTCTGTTTTAAATATCTAGCAGACATGCGTCTGCGTTCATCGGTTAAACGGATGTGCATGCGGCAAACTTCAAGTTCTGAATTAGGAGGGTCTTTTCATTCGTTACATAAAAGCCAATGGGAGCACTTTAACCGGCCTTGGCTCTGTTCAGTCAGATTGCGTCTACTGACTTGTATTTGAAACAGCACAATGGGCAATATCTTTCAGTCCCATGGTTTGTTTTCAAGGAGCGCCTGGAACAGTTAGACCACTAGGCTAACAAGCGGGAGACCCGGGTTTGAATCCTCGGTAAGGCTGGGGAATTTTTTCTGTCGGGGGCGAAATAAAAACCTCACCTGCACAGTAGTGGCGACAGCACTAGCCATGCGGCCGTAAAACCTCAAGCTCAAGGAACCCCTGCCTACACCACAAAAGTGGTTCGATAAAGGCGGTAACTGGTAGTTTTTTGTTGTTGTTTGCTTTGTTTTCACTAAAGCGCGTGTCAGTATGTGCGATTTTCAAATATCAGCTTTCGGCATTAGCTAACACAAATATTTCTGGCGGCACTCAACATAAGGATTTAAAGGAACTCAGAAGCAATAAGGTAGTAGCATTGAAATCGTCATGTAGCAGGTCCTAAGCAGAACGTCGCTCTCATTACAGTCTGCATGAAAGAAACTTGGTCTCTGGCCAGCTCTCCCGCCTCGTGTACTTTCATATTCAAGGAGTAGCTTATATCCCGTGCCCATCGTCGTGTTGATCGGCCCATGTCCTTCATTTCTGGTACCATGCCTTCTGCTATTATTATTTCTTCCAATCTGTCGTGACGCTTGATATGACCAAAATATTTCAGCTTCTGAGAAAACATACTGTTTATTAACCAATCTTCCTTGATGTTTCTTGATGTCAACGACTCACATCCGTGTGTTGCTACAGGGAAGATGCAAGCTCTCACAATTTTAATTTTGATTTCCTTGCTGGTGCTTAAACATAGACTTTTGATGCCGTTTGATCTTTGCATTGCTATTAATTTCTGTCAAACTGTCTATATTTCTATTTATTAAAGAGCCTAGATTTTCAAAGTTTATGACGTTTTTAATGTCTTCATCATTTTTTTTTTTTTTTAATTTTTTTTTGGGCTACAGCCAGTTTTGTCTGTGGACATTATTTTCGCTTTTTAAAAATGCAGTAGGTTTTGATCTTTACTTTGCTTTTAGACAAGACTTAATTCCATGTTCCATTCCCTGTACACTGTCAGAAATGAGGACTGTATCATCGGCGAAGCGAAGTTCATGAATAGGGTTGCCACCGATTATGCTGTTTATAACTGTCACAAGTGTGATTATTGTTTGCATTTCTCATGATGTTTTCTGATATTTAGTCAATAGGTTTGGTGAAAGAATGCACCCCTGCCTCAAGGAGTCACTTATATCCCGTGTCCATCTTCCTGTTGGTCGACCCTGCCCCTCCTTCCTGGTTCTATGCCCTCTGCTATAGTTTTTTTTTTTTTTCCTTTTCAAGGCGTCGTGGCGCTTGATATGATCAAAATAGTTTAGCTCCCACACAGGATGCTGTTTATTAGCCAATCTTTCTTGATGTTCAGATCTTTCATGATGGCAGTAAGGAATAACATGGTGACTACATTTAATAACCACTAAAGTGAAAGCTGTGATAGCATATTGGTTTTACAAGTTGAGGATGCTGTAGCAGTTTAAGTGGGGATACCTTAGTCGATCAAATCTTTGTGGCTTTGGAACGTACCAGAGAGTGGTAATATTCTTGGGTGCGCTTAGGGTCAATGACTATATATATACGACATTGGCGGAGACAAAGATGAAGTAGTGGACGGGAGATCAAAACAGGGCTATAACAGCAATTGAACATAGGGTTTGGTTAGACCCCTTCTTTGGCATATAACCAAACATGTTATGTGAAATGCTATTAGTTATGAAGCCCGTGACAGCTTTGAACCACCTATAGTTTGAGCTAAATATGTCCCATAATTGGTTAGATCAGTGTTTTAAACTCTGGCAGCTACAACCATACTAGCGGTGCTGGGGCGCTAAATGTTATCAAATTGGGGTAAAAAGAGAAGGATGGGGGGAATTGGATGCAAACAGAATTGTAACCCTTAGTCACAATCAGGGAGGGGGAATAGGAAAAAAACGCAGCCTGCAGGACATAGACCAAGCGTCCCATAGTAGCACTACCACCCACCTTGGGTTAGGGGCAGTGATCAAACATACGCTGCCGATGTAGACACAGGTGAAGTAGAGGTGGCTATACACAGTTTTCTTTAACTATCCCGGGGGAATTCGAGCAATGAAATCTAGTAATTTTATACATATCCGTTGGCACATTTCCGTCTTTCCAGACGATAGTGTTATGTTGCGCTATGAGAAGGCACGGGACTCACAGCCCATGGCGATGGCGAGTGTGACTGGCAACGCCCTCCCGTGTCAAGAAAAGTCTTCCACAATGAGAGTTGGGGATTTCAGGACCATTGTTGTCAACATTTGTATTTAATCTGTTTCTTTTCAGACGCTCAGCTCTCATCCTTTCTGCAATCATTTCTTCCTTTATTCTCATTCCCTTCCTGATATGCCCTTTCCACACAACACGGTCTATGGCATTTTGTTTCCACGAGTCGGTCTCAATACCTGTATCATTCATGTCCATCTTGTACACATCTTTCTAACGTAGTAGGGGTCGGCCTCGACATCTTCTTCCTGTCTTTAATTCACCATAAAGGATGTCCTTAGGGACTCTGCCATCCTCCATTCTCCAGGTGTGACCCAGCCACCTGAGCCTTCGTAGACTGAGCATGGAAAAGACTGTTGTAGTACCTGCTCTTTCCAGTACCTCAGTGTTTGTGATTTTGTCCTGCCACTTGATGCCAAGTATTCTTCTTAGGCATCGCATGTGAAAGCTATTTAACCGTCTCTCATGGTGCAAATAAGCTGATTAGGTTTCACTGCCATAAAGCAGAGTGCTGAGAACACAAGCCTGATAGAAAAGGGTTTTTGTTTTAATTGTGAGCTTTCTGTTCTCCCAAACTCTCTTTGTAAATCTGCTCATTGTTGCTGCTGCCTTACCTATCCTGATGTTGATTTCTTTGTCCACCGATAGTTTACTATTCACTGTGGAATCCAGATAGGTAAAATGGTCCACTGTCTCAAACTCTTCACCGTCAATGTAGACTGTAGGTCTGTCAATTTTTACATTAAAATGTATACACACACACACGCACGCACTCACGCACGCACACACACGCGCGCGAGAGAGAGAGGAATAGTTCCGTAAAGATTATTTTAAAAAATACACAGAAGATATAAAGGAAGTTTAGAGGCGAAAAATGGCAGATAAAGATGAATATTTAGATGAGCTGGCACAAAAAGCCGAGCCAGAAGCAGCAAAAGAAAGAAAACCTCAGAGAAATCAGTAGTATATTATGAAATATATATAAATAGATTAGCCCCACGAGGTCCCTCCACATTTCCATCCTTCGAAATAGTATAGTAAGTAAAGTAAAGGACCCCTTTCCAAGCCATTAGGCTTATAGGGCTAGACCTATATTTTTATGGACCAATCGGCATAACATGGATGATGTGGTTAGCATCACGTCGGCCGCCTTTACTTCCCGGGACTGACTGGGTCGACCTATGACATAAAAATAGAACTGATATCAACTGTAAGATATTATTTAACTATGACATTAGGAACGATAGCAATCTTCTGAAAGGAAGGAGGGCTTACCCAAAGATGGCTCCACCTTGCCGTGGTGGGGGAGCTAGTGTTTCTCGACGACTCTGGGAGCTATGCCGGCGCTAGAAGGGTAGAGAACAGACAAAGAGTAACATCCTGGTCCTCAAGGTTGGGTGTTGAAGCGTGGGGCTGACATCCCCCACCGTCGTAAAACTTCATCTCGTCACGGAAGATATCTAGGCCTCGATTTAAACAGACAACGAACGTGGAATGTTAAAAGACTTTCAAAATTTGGATCATGAAATGTACAAACCATTTATAAAGCTCGAGCAGCTAAAGAACTGACCCGTGAGATATCAAAAGACAGAATGGATATAACAGCAATTCAAGAAACAAGATGGCCAGTACAGGCTACATACCATAAAGGAAAATGGAATGATCATAGAGTATAGAGGAAACCCTCAAAACAAACATGAACTAGGGACAGGATTTGTTATCAAGAAAAAGTTGTGGGAAAGGATTATAAATTTTGAAGCTGTTGATGATAGGATCAATAATTTACGAATAAAAGGAAAATGGGAAAATATCTTGATGATTAAAGTTCATACACCCACTAAAGATAAAGAAGATGATATTAAAGAAGAATTCTATGATCCTCT